ACAGATTTCTATGAACGTTTCAATTATCTTTCGCCTACTTTTCCGAACAGCGGTAATTCCTTATGTTTTCCTTTTAAATTCTGCGCTGGAAATTGGCGCGCGCATGCCCGACGTTCGACCGCTGTGCTCTATAAACTGGTGAAGAGGGAGGCACGACATTATTATACAAACCAGAGAGCAACGTAAAACAAAACGAATATAACCCTGAGTTACTTTTGACACCAAATTACAAATTACTCAGCAAGATTCTTACTGGACACTTCAGTTTACGTACGATTTGATTTCCTCTGCTTGCTCTACATCACCCGATCTCAGGAAAGCGGTGTAAACAACACCCTTGGCAAACTTTGTCAATCTACATGAAGTGAGAGAGGGGAACAAAAAGAAAATCTCACTAGATTATACACGCATTTTGATTGCTTCTCACTGATGATGGATTGAAGGGTGGAAGTGCAGATGACTTAAACATAAACATTTTGCCTTTTTTCATCATGTAACACAGATTAGTCCCATGTTGCCGTGGGTCTGTACAGTAGTAAGAACACAGATAACGTCACAATACGGTAAGAACATTGTTCAAACTTGGCTACGCTTGGCGTGCAACTTTTGTTCTCTCACTATTTTGACGTCATCTGTGATCTACTGACGCAATCTATGATCCACTGACGTCATCTGTGATTCCACTGATGATGGAATCTATTGTTAAACTCATTTATAGATATATATTTTTTTGAATAATTGGTTGGTTACCGATAAAATGAGCAAGTGTCACTATGCTACATGTATTTTAGGTCAGAAATGAGCCTTGAAGAATCAAGGGGCTATTTTTGTATTAAACATAAGATGCACGAGGCTGGCATAATAACAGTGATACTCAGATCTTGAAAGGGAAAGAGAGAGACGGTGAACAGCGCCATACTTGGATTACATATACTCACTTCACCGCTTTGAAAGAGAGTTCCCCGTACAAATCCTTGATCTTCTTTACTGCTTTCTGCAAAAAAACAAAATAAATAAACATGATCACCTTATGCATACTAGATAAAATAATTTAAAAGACCTAAAACAGCAGTTCAAAAGAAACAGTGTACTAAATAACAAAATAGGGTGTTAAAATATAATTTGTCAGAGCTAGGAAGGGCTAACGCTCGAAACGTCTGCCTGAGAAAATCTCTACGGAGATGGTCAGTGCGCGAAGTCTTGAGTTTTCTATTTCCTCGCTTAAGAATGATTTGTGAGAAATTTTCAATTTTCTCTCATATTTTGTGTGACAGCGGTTGTTTCTTTGTTTCCCTTTAAAATTTTGCACGGGAAATTGGCGTGGACTGGCTCAAATGGATCCCCTTGTGCATTCCCGGTGTTTCGTGCACAAGTGGTCTAATACTACTAAGCGTAGTGCCACTCCTCTTGGACATGACTATGCATCCCACTCTCGCCTTTACGGTACCAACAACAAATTTCAAAATAAACTTTTTTCAAACCTCGTCTGTTAATCCTCCGCGTATGCCTTTATCGGGACATCTGCCATAAGCCTCAATCAACCGACAGTAATCAAGACCGCTTGGCTCAGTTTCTTCCTAACAACAAATAGAACATTCAAGAAAGCTGTAAGGAACGTGGATATGGAAACTTTGGTGCTGCGTCGGTGTGGTAGAAAAAAATCAATATGGTTTTATCAACTGATTTGATAAAGCTGAAGTTTCGAGCATTAGCTTTACTTGAAGCGTCAGCTATAGAAACTCTCTACAGTGGGCAGTTTACATCTCCAACTCGGTTGGGGAAAAAATCAGAACACACAATCGAACTTCTGCAGGAGAGCATTTTTACTACACATTGTCCATAATGAAGCCTGTTTGAACATCCTTGATACAAACAAAAGGTATTTTTACATAAGGCTACAGTCGAAAATACCTTGCACTCTCAGTATTTCGTAAAACTGAATTCGAGTACTTCATTAAAAGTAACACATTGACAAAGCTTACTACCAAGAAACCAACTCATGTTTCATACCTTGAGCTTATCGAAGCAAAATTGTGCTGCCTCTGCTTTTCCGTCAAAAGCCATAATCTACACATGTCAAATAAGAAAATTACATCCTCTTTGAGGTATTTAAGAGGCTCAAAAGCCGCCGATGTTCTGTTCACAGTTTTACAGTTCTGTTTATTCTATACAACAGAAATGGCCTAAAATAAAAATCGCGGAATAACATCTGGCCCACAAACACCCTCTAACTGTTGGAAATGCAGCACAAGCGTTTCTTCGCCTACGAGAAAGTTTAAGACCTTGCGCGAATGACCACTCTGTCCTCAAGGCCTCAATTTTTACGAGGTTTCTTCCTGGGGCTTATTTCCTTATTTCATCACTGAGCTCAAATGTTGTCGTCTT